TGTGATTGAACAACAATGACATGTCTATGTCAGTAAAGCAAAGGGGAGGAAAATGCAAAGAAACTCAAGGAGCTGAAAGGTACATCAAACCAAACTGGGCACTTTTCAGGTAACGAAATTGATTTGAGAAACTGTGCTAGTTCAAGTGGGACCCATGAGGAGCACAAGGGAGAGCATAGAGGAAATAACAGACCTGATTTCGATTCTGACTCATAGCAGCTCTCTAAGGGCTCCAGGTGATTGCAGGGTAGAAGCCACGCGGAAGTTCGCAGTATGGGCCAAATGCCCTGCCATGCCGGGGCGCTCAGTCATCCGAACAGATAGGAGGCAAATTGATCCAAGAAATTTGTGATTAAAAAAACAGTATTTCAGTGGGAGCTCAGTGTGTGTCACTAAAAGCATATCAGAAACCATTACCTGGAGCCTTTTATTTTAAAGGCAGTGCAATAGATTAAAGGTCAGAGATTAAAGGACACAGAGTGCAATAGATTAAAGGTCAGAACTACCACAGTACCTGGCTATAGGAGCCTGCCCCCCCCCCAATTATTGTTAATTTACTTAATTCATAGTTTGCCTTTCTTACTTGATGCTCATGGCAGATTACCGCTTTAAAAAAAATGCAATATGATACATTTATTTATTTATATATCCCGCCTTTCCAGATATCTGGCTCAAGGCGGCTAACAACATTAAAATGGCATAAACACCCAAGTTAAAACAATTAAAACAAATAATAAATAAAAAAATACATACAACCATCAAGGTAATACAATTGGATTACAGACTTAAATACAATAAAAGGCAGTGTCATGCAATGCAATGAAGCTGGATTAGAAAATTAGAGAGGAGAAACTAAAAGGGCCACACCAGTCACTGAGAGTTTTTTTTTAAAAAAAAACAAGGCCAATGGTGCAAGTAAAGTAAAAGGGCACAGAGTGCAATAGATTAAAGGTCAGAACTACCACAGTACCTGGCTATAGGAGCCTCCCCCCCCCATTATTGTTAATTTACTTAATTCATAGTTTGCCTTTCTTACTTGATGCTCATGGCAGATTACCGCTTTTTTAAAAAAAATGCAATATGATACATTTATTTATTGTTTATATTTATATCCCGCCTTTCCAGATATCTGGCTCAAGGCGGCTAACAACATTAAAATGGCATAAACACCCAAGTTAAAACAATTAAAACAAATAATAAATAAAAAAATACATACAACCATCAAGGTAATACAATTGGATTACAGACTTAAACACAATAAAAGGCAGCGTCATGCAATGCAATGAAGTTGGATTCGAAAATTAGAAACTAAAAGGGCCACACCACTCACTGAGAGATTTTTTTAAAATAAAAAACCCAAGGCCAATGGTGCAAGTAGAGTAAAAATAGATATTTTAATTGTGTATTTAAAAACTGATCTTGTAGTTTTGTTGACAGAAAACTGAAAGACTAACAGATTCCCCTGAAGCAGCCTGTTGACAAAACACATGGGGAATCCTTAGCGGAGCAATCAAATATCATTTTTATTTTACTTGCACCATCGGCCTTGGCATAATTTTTTTCTCTCTTACAAAATCAGAAGACAGGGCCATCAGAACACATCCAGTAAACCATAGAATGAGAAGAGCCTAAAATGACCTGCAGTTGGAGTCTGACTGGCTGGAACATTGGCCGAGTTCAGACTGGCAATTTGAAG